GAATCGTTGTCGGGTTCAGAAACATAGAACATAAAAGCTGAGACCGAAATGGAACATGGGAAATGACATAATTATATTATAATTTATATTCATTTGCGCCATCCATGCAGTCGGTTTAGAATGCCAAACGCATATTAAAAACAGTGGATGATGCCACGGGTCGCCGGTCACAGCATGCATCTAATTAATGTACTTCCCATGTACCATTTCGGTGTCAGCTTCTATGTTCTATGTTTCTGAACCCGACAACGATTCTTCAATTGAGTGTATACAATATGAGCGGGAGATCTGTAAATCAGGACGAATTCTGTATCAGTGTTTACAAATTCACGGTAGTAATTTTGTATTGTTCTAAGGTCATTAAAATTTCATGCTTTTTAAGTATAATAAATTAGTCTTGAATTTACGCCATCTCATTGAAGCTTGACCCAATATTTTTGCATGAGCACCTACCAAATTTGATTGATTCCGATTTTATAGGCACTGGGACAAATATGCTACATATAGACTAAACTACAATTTAATATTTTTCTCGAGGAGATCGATGGGATCTCATATCGAGCGGTAAAGACGTCACACCTGTTTTAACTCCGAGTCGAATTTTTTAATTAGCACTCAACCGCATTATCTAGCAAAATGATTTATGCTGCTTATACCTTGAGTGTTTGTCTTCCTCTGGGCGCAGTTTCAATAAAATCTGTAAGACAAATTAGGATTTATTTTTGGGGATATCTAAATTAAGAGTATAATTTATGTCAAAACTTAACAATGAATTTCCCGTAGCCAAAATTGCTACTTCTGGGGTATCTGTTTACGAAAAACAAAAACAAAAACAAAAAAAAAAAACACACGCTAATTCTGTTGTTATATGTCCCTAATACTTTATTGAAGGTTTAGAAGATATTCTAGTAACGCGATCTCGCCAAAACGGAGAACATATGATTCAAGACGAAAACGTAATGTTTACTTTTCTCACGGTTTTATTTATGCTTCTGCTTGTGCTTATGTTGCCTTATGTCATAGTGAGGACGTGTTCTTATGTCATAGTGAAAACTGCGCTTTACGGACACTTTCACGAAAAGCACGATCATGCCAAAACTTGTGGATTTTTGTCCTGGACTTTTTTCAGAACTACAACAGATCAATGCAGCACATTTTTCCTGAATTTTGTGATCACTGATAACTTCTAAGGCTGCCTAAAATAAATGCAAAATTAAGTAAATATAGAGACGAGGTCATAGTTTTCGACGATTCGGTGCTTTGGGATATCTTTTGTTTCATTTATAGCACAACATCGAATCCTTTGTACCATGCATGCATTGACCGCGCTTGGCTGCCCTCCGAATCTTCCCGAAGTATAGTGAGGCCGTGATTACAAGGGGCAATTTTCTCTGCAAAGTGTCAGGCAATAAATTTGTTTTCAGTAGCAGTGGATTCGTGCCAGAACATCATTTGCTCTTCTGCGGTCTGCCCTTGTATGTTTTGAAAGGCTCAAGAACAAAAAGGCGAACCCCTTATGATGTTCATAACTGTGATATTGACATTGACACTGTCCAAGGAGCCATTAAGTCTTCTACTTAGATGAACTTTTATCTATATTAATCAATTAATTGTGTTGTTAGTATCGTATACAATAGGTGTTTCTTTACAAATTATACATATATATATATGGTCTGTTAGTCAGCAGTGAAGAAACAATATGTGAAACGGTGTGTGCGCCGAAACATGTTCTAGAAAGAAAGAAACTTGTTCTTTTTCAATTAGGTGTATATATTCATGGTTTTTAATATACTGAGTCTAAATTATTATTATTACTATTAATTTAAATAAATAAATAAATATATATATATACTTAATCCTTAATCTGAATCAACCTTAACATGTTAATGTATTTTTAGTTGTAAATTAGATATTATTATTATAACTGTCAATCAAGATTATTATCATTATCATTATCTTAATTAGAGTGCAAATAATATACCCTTGAAATAGATAGCTAGCTTACTAATTACTAACATTTGGTTGCCTAAGTCTAATTAGTTAAAATAGGCGAGCCGTGACGGGTAAACTAGTGCAAGTGTGCTACTCAAGGGCGCGCATTTTTAAATACTTTTAAACACACTTACAAAAACTTAAAAAATATTTTGTTGTACAGGCTTTTCCTTCGTATAATTTGACATGTTCGTATTTTCGTATCTATTCATTTGCGTATTGAGTTGTCACTCTAGTAAATGCGCGTGCCCTTGTCATGCCTCACTGAATTCCTATGTCTTGTCTAATTAAGCGCTAACTATTTCCTATTTCATCCTAACTAATTTCACGGGTATATTATTTACACTCTATTATGATCATCTTTATTAATATTATTATTATAATCATCATTATAATCATCATTTTTATCATCATCATTATTATCATCATCATCATTATTATCATTATTATTATCATTATTATTATTATTATCCAGTACTAAAAAACTGTTGTTGTTGATGATGTTTTTGTTGTTGTGGTTGCAGTAGTCGTTGTTGTCATAGTTGTCATCGTTGTCATTGTGGTTGTACTAGCAGGACAAATAATTTACTCAAAAACACATGTACAAGGCTTTAAAGTAAAACAGAAAGCAAAATAGAAAGTAGCAAAGAGCAGAAGGTTTGCTGATGATAGCAGCATGTTTGGTGACATGGATGGAGTAGGTGGTCTAGGTGGAACGAGGCGGACCCGACAACTGTAGATAAAAAACACAAATATAATCACAAAAGTGATAAAAATTCAACGTGGTGTCATAGATATTTTAAAACATTTTTGGCCGTTTCTTAGACTTCTTAAAATATTCTGGAGCCTAAAAACTGGGTTGGTTTAACATCCTAGTGCATTCTGAGACTGTCTTAAGGACAAAATAGACACTATCTTGGTAATTTGTCCCTTGAAATAGCCCACAACGCAATGCATGGTCAATTCTACCCAGATTTTTCTCTACATCGAATTGGTTAAAAGTCTGATTAAAAATTAATAGTTAAAAATAATTAATATGATTACCTTTGTGTATCAGGTGGATCTAGAAAGAGGAAAAGTGTACTTTAGATGAAAATCATGAAATTAAAAAAATGTAAAAAGATATATATAATGTGTCAAGGTCATTTATTTGTTGTCAAACAGGCAAGGAGTGAATGCTCCGTTTTTTGAGCCAAAAGGGTCATGAATTTAGAGTGTTAGGTTTGGTGGAGGAAGAAAATCCCCCCGGGGGGGGGGGGTACTCCGCCAGAATTTGGGTAGGGATGTTCCGCTGGGATTCTGAAAGGGGTACCCTGTTTATGATAAAAAAAACTCAAATTTGTGGACCCTGTTTATGACAAAAGATATAATAATTGCACTGAGTTCCCGTTTCAATTATCATGTCAGCTCGCGTATCGTTTTTTTACGAACATAATAATTAGTTTCAGTCAATACGAAAGTAGAATCTCTGAATATGACAGGAAACTCAGGAAGAACTTGGAACTTGAGTGAAATTGCATACCCTGTTTATGATAAGCTCGAAAAACCATACCCTGTTCAGCGGATCATCCCCGTATAGTCCATATATGGGAAAACCCCCCCCCCCCCCCCCGGGGGAAAATCCTGGGAACCCAGACAAATCTCTCAAATCAAGGCAGACGCTGAGTCTGGAAATCAAGCTCTATATCTCAGAGGTGAGAGGTGAGTGTACTATTTCTTTACCCCTATATACCCTCTAATTCTCTAATACCTGACCTGTATGATATCTGAAAAGCAATAAAACTAGTAGTTACTGTGCCTATATTTGCCTGTAATTCCTTATCCATTAAGAAAGAACTTAAAACTTGGCTCTTCCAGACAGCTTACAATTAATTTATTATTGTTTATATTTATTATTATTATTTAATCTATTATTTATTACCTTTCATCGATTTAATACTTTTTTGTAATTTAAGTTTCAAATAATTTTTTGATGCAATTTGTACATTTATCCATATAGATTTGTTTTGAATGTTTTAATTATATTTTGTTTATTTTTGATCTTGTAAATAATTTATCTATTTTTATATTTCTTACAAAGCGTTGTTGAATCATGTTAGAATTGACGTTATATAAAATAACGGTATCATTATTATTATTATTATTATTATTATTATTATTATTATTACTATTATTATTATTATGGTCATTAAGGAACCGTTCAATACGTTTTGGGGGGGGGGGGGGGGCGTGTATGGTTGAGAAAATAGGGAGAGATATTCATGAGCCTACTAATGAGAGGTTGATGGAAGAAAAATGATTTCTCTAAATTTTTTCACCCATAAACATCCCCTCCCCTCCCACTCTGATAAATAATGAACATCTCCAATGAAATGACTTGGAGTTACATACAGTAGTAACCCTTTGACAGCTGAAGGCACACTACTACCCCTCCCCCTTTGATTCCCTTGTCAATAACTACTATATACCTGACTTGTATGATATCATCCCAGCAGTGAACCCAGTCGCTGTGTGGCTGTCCGCATCATTAATGAAATTGACAGCAATTTTTCTGTAGATATCAGGAACAATTACTCTGAATATTTTTCTCTTATCCACATCGTTCATTAGAGAACAAATCCTTTTATTGACGATTTCAAAAGGACCGGAAACAAACTTTCTGGATGCTAGAAACAAAACAAAACAAAAGGAAAAACTGTTATTAGACCTCGTTTCCTTGGGTGCATGTTTTCCCATATTCAGACCATGTGTCATTTCCCTATTGCCATGTGCCATATTCTTGTCTTCTCGTGTGCGACAATTTAAATCAACAGACAGACAGACAGACAGACATATGGACAGACAGACAGACGGACAAACAGACAGACAGACAGACAGACAGACAGTCAGTCAGTCACAGTAAAAGGGTACTGACAGTTTTTCAACAGACAGACAGATGGACAGACAGACAGATGGACAGACAGACAGAAAGATGGACAGACAGACATATTTGTGAACAGAAGACAAACAGACAAACAGATGATAGACAGGTATTTGGGTCGCTGGACAAAAAGACAGACAGGCAAGTGGACAGACAGACAGGCAAGTGGACAGACAGACAGGCAAGTGGACAGACAGACAGGCAAGTGGACAGACAGACAGGCAAGTGGACAAACAGACATGCAAGTGACAGACAGACAGGCAAGTGGACAGACAGACAGACATACAAACACTGTTGATCTGGTGCTTTTCCCTAGTGGTTTCCTCATACCTTTGATCATAACCCTATCATCTTTTTCTTCATTTGGATCACAAAAAACTGTCCTCTCAATCTCAAAGTCCATGAATTGAATGATGATGCTATAGTTGACAGGATTTTCAAAATTCCATGAACAACTGGTCTTGGTTGGGTAGTTATTAGGCCACAGAGGAGTAAAAATATTGGATACACTACTGTTGTGTTGGTTACTACAAGAAAAAGCACAGCAATGTGTTAGAAATGTGAGATGCCGTAAAGATGCTGTATCATAATTTTATCATTATATTTGTTAATTGCTTGTGATAAGTGAAGATATGATGATCTGATGTTGGATTTGCTTAGGATAAATGATAATAATGATTATAATTATAATGGTGGTGGTGGTTTTTGAATTATGTCAATGATGATGATCGTGTACCTGATGCTGATTGGAATGAAAATGGTGTTGATGAATATAATATTTGACTCTAAAGTACAACAGAGGTTGATCCCAGCTGAGTGACAAACCCAGTGGACAAAATCCCCAGCCCTGGCACAGCTACTAATCAATACCAAACTGGAGTATACTATAAGTTATCAGTAGCTCAGCTGATAGCAAATGTTTTAGTCTGTCAAAATAATTATGGCCAATGTGCAAAATTTGGGTTAGAGTTGCCTGACACTAGGCAAGTTGAGTTTAGAGGGGGCTAATTGAGTTTAGGGGGTGGGCTAATTGAGTTTAGGGGGGAATAATTGAGTTTAGGGGGGC